CCTCATTTACAGGAGGTTCAAGATGCAGACCCTAAAGTCCATCTTGGCAAGTATCAGGAAGGGGGATTTCCTTTCCTCCATCGACCTGACAGAGGCTTACTTACACATTCCGATCATCCAGGAACACCGCAGGTTCCTGCGGTTCTGTTACGCACACAAACACTACCAGTACCGGGCTCTTCCCTTCGGCCTATCCTCGGCCCCGAGGGTCTTCACAAAAATCTTGGCCGTGCTGGCGGCTCATCTAAGGATGATACCCGTACGGGTACAGTGCTACCTGGACGACATACTGATACAGTCCAAATCTTTCCAATCAGGGCAGTCGGACCTGGCAATCACTATTCAAACACTTCAGGATCACGGGTTCTCCGTGAATTTCAAAAAGAGTCACATCACACCCACAAGACGTCTGCTCCATCTAGGAGCTCTGATAGATTCCAGCCTATGCAAGGTATATCTCTCCCAGGAGCGACAAGTCAGCATCCGGAAGCTGACACTGCAGATCCGAGGGGAAAAAAGAGTACCCCTGGTACAATTATCCCAACTCCTGGGGAAGATGGTCTCTTGCCTGGGCATCGTTCCTTGGGCCAGACTGCACTCCAGGAACCTCCAGTGGTTCCTTCTTCCTTTTCAGAAACGCAACATCAGCGCCTCCAACAGGAAGGTCAGGGTTCCCCATCACACTCTGTCCTCCCTCCTATGGTGGACCTCGTCCGCCTTGTCCAAGGGCACTCTGTTCAAGGAACCCACCAGGATCACCCTCACCACAGACGCCAGTCTGTTCGGTTGGGGCGGTCATATTCTGAACCACTTAGCCCAGGGTCAGTGGTCCAGTTCAGACTTGGCTCACAATATAAATTGGCTGGAGCTCAGGGCCATCCACCTGGCTCTCCAAAGATTCTCCCCCTTGGTATCAGGGAAACACGTATTAATCCTGACAGACAACATTGCGGCCAAAGCTCACGTAAACAAACAAGGGGGCACCCACTCTTGGGCACTCATGCAGGAAGCACAGGCCATAGGGCTGTGGGCAGAGTCCAACCTGAGGTCCATCAGAGCAGAGCACATATCGGGGGAGGCGAATCAACAGGCAGACTCCCTGAGCAGGGTCACAGTGGATCACTCAGAGTGGAAGCTAGACTCAATCCTATTCCAGGAAATATCACGCAGGTTCAGACAGCCCATTCTAGATCTCTTTGCCTCTCCGATCAATGCACAGCTCCCCAGATTTTTTACCAGGTTTCCGGCGAGGGGGGCGGAGGGAACGGACGCCCTCCGGAGCAGATGGCCGGAGGGCGTACTTTATGCATTCCCTCCTCTTCCACTAATACAAGCGACCATTCGCAAGCTCATCCAGGAACAGGCAGAGCTAATCTTAGTGGCTCCATTTTGGCCAAGATGCCCGTGGTTTGCCGACCTGGTGGACCTGTCAATTTCACCTCCATGGAAGATTCCCCCGGACCGAGTAGCTCTCAGCCAGGGGAACCTCCAACATCCGGATCCACAGTGGCTCCAATTAGCCGCTTGGCACTTGAGCGGGAGAGTCTGACCAAACAGTCTTTCTCCTCTGGGGTTATTTCCGTCATCCAGGCCTCGAGGCGTCCCTCGACCAACAGAATCTATGACGCCACTTGGAGAAGTTTTTGCTCTTGGTGTACCAAAAAGCGGCTTTCACCGCTTGCTGTCTCCATCCCAGACATATTAGATTACTTACTTGAGGGGTTAACTAGAGGTCTGTCAACCAGCACCATACGTAGGCAGATAGCAGCCTTGTCGACAGTTCTCACCTGTGACAACCAGGTTTCCCTGTCCCAACACCCAGCAGTCAGTGCCTTTCTCAAGGGTGCGGCCAATGTAGGGCCCCCCACGGTTCATCGTTATCCATCCTGGGACCTCTCTAAGGTGTTACAGGCTTTAACGTCCTCTCCATTTGAACCTCTGAAAGTTTGCTCCCTTCACTTCCTTACATTGAAGGTAGCCTTCCTAGTGGCCATCACGTCGGCCAGGAGGATTTCAGAATTGGCGGCCCTGTCGGTCAGGGAGGACTTGTGCATGTTCCATGAGGATAGAGTGGTCCTCAGGTTGGATCCTGCATTTGTTCCAAAGATCAATACAGGGTTTCACCGCTCGCAGGAACTAGGCCTTCCTAACGTCTGTCCTAACCCTTCCCATCATCTGGAGAGACAGTGGCATATGTTGGATGTGCGCAGGGCTCTGCGCCATTACATTAAACGAACCTCGACCTTCAGGAAGTCCGAGGCATTATTCGTGTCCTTTCAACCCTCAACTATGGGTCGGAAGGTCTCTTCTTCCACCATTGGGCAGTGGATAAGGATGTGTATTTCCAGGGCTTATATTTCCCAGTCCCTTCCGGTACCTTCACATATTACTGCTCACTCTACACGTAGTGCTGCTGTCTCAGCAGCTTGGTCTACCCAGGCATCACTCGAGGAGATTTGCAGGGCTGCGACATGGTCCTCTCCTTCCTCATTCATAAAACATTATAGGATAGATCAATTTGCAGCAGCTGAGGCTGCTTTCGGTAGGAGAGTCCTACAGCAAATAGTGGGTTCTCAGGGGTCACAAGCCTAGACTCCCTCCCTATAGGGACATGAGCAGCTTTGGTATGTCCCAATCAGTGGAGTCTACATCCATCCTGATGGAGAAAAGAGCGTTGTCTTACCTGAACGCTTTTTCTCAGCAGGATGGTGTAGACTCCATACCCACCCTGTTAGTGTTAGTCTAGGCCTGTGTCTTCCTTTTTTGTTTGGAGCCTTGCATCTGGTAGCTTCGCCTCGACAAAAACTGGGAAGTCACACCCAGAAGGAGGCGTGGCAGAGTTTTTTGTCTTAGTCTGAGCACTGATTAAATTACCAATCAGTGGAGTCTACACCATCCTGCTGAGAAAAAGCGTTCAGGTAAGACAACGCTCTTTTTTAGATGCAGATGCAAGCAGCTTAGCACCATTTTATAAAACACATTTTGTATACCACTGTAATCTTTGCAGAGCAAACATGAGCACTTAATAGTTGGCGGTCAGCATGATAGGTCTTTAGATAAAGGAGACCAAAATGGGAAGTGGAATTTGAAAATTGCTTTCAGAGTATGGCTCCAATGTTAAAACCATTGGCCTATCAAGATAATTGGCTGCTAAAGCAAAAAAGTGTTTAGCTGCAATTCAGTCAGTAGTTGTTTCCAACACTTTTATCCATTTTTATAGCAAAAGGCCAATGAGAATGACAGGCAGGAATATACTGTGGGATAAAATGGGAAAAAGTATGATAAAATGGGGAAAAGTGGATAACTTCTGCCTACCATATCTTTCTGCCTACCATAACATCTGCCTACCATATCTGTTTTAAAGTGAATATATTTCCAAGAATATATCTATTGATTAGATCTAAGAATCTAAGGGCTGTAGAGCTGGGCATTCTCTATTAGTTCTACTCTACCATTTAATATGATCCAATTATCCATAGATTTGTCCAATATGATTCAAGGACTGTAAGATATGGTGGCAGAAGTTACCCACTTTTTCTCATTTTATCACACAGTATATTTCTGGCTGTCATTTCCGTTGGTATTTTGCTATAAAAATGGATAGAAGTGTTTGAAGGATGACTTGCTATACACTTTCCTAATTAGTATAGATGGAAAGCCATGCTTTCTTCCAGGGAGCTCTGACTGGTTATATTGAGGAATTGTTTGCACCATGTCCTATTAATCACATGGCTCTCCTAGATTTAAATATGTTCCATTTTCATTTGTCTATTGTTTAAAGATTCCGATTGTATGGAAATTGTCTGAACTAATGCTAAAATGTCTGTTTATGTAGAATTCCCATATTTCATTAATGACATAGTCACAACAATTGGCAGTCCATTTTACTTGATTAAACTTTCTTCTTCTTCTTCTTCTTCTTCTTCTTCTTCTTCTTCTTCTTCTTCTTCTTCTTCTTCTTCTTCTTCTTCTTCTTCTTCTTCTTCTTCTTCCTCCTCCTTCTAGGAAATTATTATTTTTTCCTTGTAAAACCTTTTAACACATAACAGTTGATCCATCCAATCTCCATCAATTAGTTATTATTAAAATTAAAACTTGGTGCAGGGAGCCATAAGTATAAAATCCACTTTTGAAACAATTGGCAGCTTCCTCAGAATATCTGAAAGAAATAATTATAGATAATGTAGAAATTGTGACTACACACATAAGGAAAGGATTTTAGCATTTAGACCCTTCCTTCCTTCCTTCCTTCCTTCCTTCCTTCCTTCCTTCCTTCCTTCCTTCCTTCCTTCCTTCCTTCCTTCCTTCCTTCCCCTCCTACAGAAAAGAATTGCATTACATGTTAGAATATGGAACACACTTTGTAGTGAGTTTGATCCAGGGGTTTCATTGATTGGCAGGTGCTTTGTAGAGTTCCAGTGTTAGAATTTTCTAGCCCAGCTGGAGTTGCCATAGTATGAGATTTTCTGGAAGTCAATTAATGTACTATAATACTGAACCATGTCACTTTTAAAGTACATTTGGAATTCTGGGGTGAAGCATTGGGAAGACTAATATTGTACTAGCTATGCTAGCTATGTTAAAATAGCCGAACTGTTGTCAAGGTTTGCTTTTATTCTGCATAACAGATTGAATACATCACATTTCTTAGATTTTGCCCTCTCTAATGGCAATTTTAAAGATGTATAGATGTTCTGGTTTTCAGATACTTTTCCTTTCAAAATTCTACCATCTGTCTTAACATCTTATTCCTTTTGGATATATTTTTTAATCACGTAGGGATTCAAAACCGATCCCAGAGTTCACAAGAGATGTTCAGTAGCTTGTGTGGGCAGGTGTGAACAATTTTGTTGATAGATTTATAGAGTAAGTCTTAAAGTTGGACTTCAGGTTTGTTTACTTGAACACTGAACTAATAAATTTAATTTCTTGATTAATTTTTTCTAGTATTCATTGCGATCTCTTGTCACATTTTTACCATGTTTCTCTCTTGAAAATAGCAGGTCCTGAAGCAACAGCAGTTACAGCAATTGCAAGTGTACCAGGGTCAGATGGCTGCAATTGGCATGGTGCATTTAGATGAGCACCAGCCTAGTGCCAGGACACAGACTTCCTTGACAACTTGTGTATTATCTCACCCAACCGTGGATCAGCCTATTCAACAAACCTCCATAACAGGTAAGAGTCCCTAAAGATTCCCATAATAGGCAGAATACATGTACAGTTCATGTAGAATCAATTGATTTAAATACCAAGAATGCCTCTGGTAGTTGCAGCAATTCAATCCTTTTTTACTCTCAGTACTATGTTTTAGTGCAGCTGATAATGGATAATATTCACACATTCAAAATTTAATACTGTTGAGAAGCTCAGGCAGCCAAGAAATAGGTGCCTTTTGGATGTCCTCCAGCCTTTTGCACTTTTATTTCTGTCTAGCCCAAATTGTATTTTGTCTTTTTCTCCTCTCCCTCCCCTTGTTGAGACTATTGCCGTGTTTACATGAAACTCTTACAAAAAGCATGATTATAATATATATTGCTGATATATTTTGTCACAATGTATGCCAAAAGTGTTATTTTCCAATATAGTAAACACATTCAAAATTATCAGTTTCTTTAATTTTATGTTTCCTTTCAGCAAAGAATGATTGACATGTGTGTTGTATTGCATATAAAGGTACTGTATTTTCTGAGCATAGAATGGAGTCTTTTGGTTGCAAGTATTGAATTTTCCTTTGAGGATTACACTGTCTTCAGCTTTGCAGTAGGAAATATAAATAGTCTAATGGCCCTTAAGATGGTCAATAAATATTAGCTGTGATGTAGAAATTTCAAATTCAGATCAGAGTCATAGAATCTAATTTCTAAAATAAATGAATAAGCTGATTGAACTATTAGATTATATCCAAAACTGCTAAATTGTTTTAGAAGATTCAATTTCTGTGCACATGCAAAAATGATTTATTCAAATATATTGGGAAGATAGAAGTTGATAAAATTTATGAAATTAAGTAGAAATACAAATTAAATTGAATTATATGTTTAAATTAAACTTATTTAAATTGAAGTTTTTGCATTGCATATTGCATGATTTACCAACCATTATATTTCTTTAACTACCATAGGATGCATAATATTAAAGTTGGACCTATGTTACAGAATATAATATTTTCTGCCAGTGATGCTTTTCTTCATTTCTTTAAATGGCAATTTAAAATCCAGAAGAAGGAAGAAACATGGCATCATTCAGCTCTACAATATATTTCTATCATAAATAAATATAAATAAAAATTGCCATCAACTATAATTCTTAAGGATAATGAAAATATATATTAAAATTAATGTGTTTTCCGATCCAGAGACTAATTTTACTCTGACCCATATAGTCACATTTACAATTTGCATCACAACAATTAGATCGAAATCTGATTGATTTTTCTTTCAGAATAAGCCAGTTACAATCTTGGCCTTTCTGATTTCAGAGGGGAATTTTGCCATTGGCTTGAAAAGAGACAACATTCCAACCAGAATCATTATCTTCCACTAACATTCCTTAGCAGCAAGCAATTGAAAACAGTTGTCTCTTCCCTCACTGCTCCTTGTTCCTTGGGGGGGGGGAGCAGTGTTGGCTGGATTGTGTTAGGGAATTCTACATTCTATTTTTAGTTGGAAGCTCTGTTGCTGTGTTGTGGTACAGTAGCACACGTGCTGTGTGACCCACAGCTGCAAAAGTGAATTATTTGCACATCCTAAATCAATTTAGATGTTTGAAGTGAATGAAAAAAGGACATTCAGATTTCATTTTAGACTGAATGTTCTTCAACAGACACACAGTTTGGAATGTGAGAACATTTTACTACTTAAAAGTTTGCATGGAATGTTTCTGACAGATCTCAACTTTTGATTTATTTAGGCACTCATTCAAAAGTTGCAATCCTATGCAAAGTTCATTTTGGAATAAGACCCATTAAACTTCTCTTGGACTCAGTTGAAGTTGCACTCACAGTAACCTGAGCAAATATAATGTTTTGATGATTTGTTTTATGTCTGAGAAAATTAATAAATCCATTAGCATAATTAAAGAAAAGAGGGGAAGTGACTTAAAAAGTGGCCCAACACTTTGATTAAAACATGGTACCTGGTGCTAACTTTGGGCAGTTACCAGAATCCAAGGATTTGGCAAAGTACTTCACCAGATTCTTGCACTTCTAATGAGGACCAGGTGCTTTACTCTGGGACACCAGGATAAATAAATAGTGTTTCAAAAAGTCCAGGTGAATACTCTGTCATAAAAGAGCAACCACCAAAGGCATCGTTCCCAGAATCCCCATAGAATTGAAGCCAGCATTGGATTATTGTTGACAGTGAAATATTGGGAAATATTTAAAGACTACCTCAAGATAATTTTGACTCTGATGATTGGTATTGGACATGCCATTTTCTTTGCAACAACAAAGAAACAGTTTGCCATGTTATTGCTATTTGCCAGTTAGGTCACCACTTCTGAAATTTCTGGGGCTCCATTCAAGCACTAATGAGATCTCACCATGTTTAGATTTTTTTTCAAGATCAGCCAAAGTACCACTATCTGCTGTGTCCCCAAATATTTAAACTGCTCAATGAAAAAGGAGAAGCTGGCACTGAAAAAAAGCTTATTAGTCCAGCCAAAATAGTATAATTAACAAAGCATTTCTACTTTTGTCAGGTGAAATTTATATTTCCCATATGTTACTAGCCCTTGGGATATGATTTATTCTGTTTACAGTGCACATTTATGTCAAGGATTAAGTTATCTGAAGTCTTTGTTTAGTTATTACTTCATTTAGTGACTATTCAGAGTTTTGGCAGTGATAAAAAAGTAGCTTTGTGACTGGTCCTCACATTTACGAACTTCATAGATATGTAAAACAAAAGAAAGTGAGATCATAAATTCACTTGTGGTTTCACTTAATGCCACTTCAAATAACTCATTGCCGATCTCAATCCCTAAACAAAGTTACCTGTCATTTCATTTACTTTCTTTGCATATATACTGCATAAACCTAAATGTCAGCACTACAATGTAAATGTAGAGTATACATTGTAAGGGGGGAAAGTACACTTATCCCAAAAAAGACAGTCCCATCTCTCCAAAATAGCTTTTGTTCAATTTGACATATTCTGATCATCCCAACCAGATATCCAGTGGTGGGATTCAGCCGGTTCGCACCACTTCGGCAGAACCGGTAGCTAATTTTTTGGTGCCCAGGTCCCAAATAGACTTCCGGAAGTAGCATCCACACAGAGAACCAGTTGTTCATATATTTGAATCCTACCACTGCACACATCCAATTCTATTTCAATGAGCATCCTAATTGTTGTACTTTACTTTACAGAGTAAAGTTGTTGGTAAGTTGGTCCTATTATGTTTGTTTTGCAGGTGTTGCATATGACACACTAATGTTGAAGCACCAGTGTTTATGTGGCAATTATACGAACCACCCTGAGCATGCTGGAAGAATACAAAGCATTTGGTCAAGATTGCAGGAATGTGGGCTGCTAAACAAGTGTGAGGTAATGGCTACACAACTAGATTAAATATGGTGGTTTTAATATGATTTCTGTTCCTTATGTAAGTACCAACTGGATGGCTTCAGGAATATTCCCTGCACATCATAAGTTATATTATAGAACAGTGATGGCGAACCTTTTAGAGACCGAGTGCCCAAACTGCAACCCAAAACCCACTTATGCATCATCGTGTGCCTGGTGGGTGTGGCCCATTGGGTGGGCGTGGCTGCAGTGGTAACAGCAGACTGGGTGAGACTAAAAAGTTCAATCAATCAATTCCAACTTTGCAAAATCTTTATTTTTCCCGCGAGAAGTTGAAATTGACTAATTGAATGAACCTTTTTTTTTTTTTGTACACGGCAGTGGAGCCCTAAAGCGAAAAGATTTTATAAAACCCAGCTGAAGGCCCAGGACTGGGGCGACAGCACGCGTGTCCACAGAGAGGGCTCTGAGTGCACGCCTCTGGCACCCATTGCTATTAGCTGCTATAGAATCTAAGATATGCATCATACAGTCATAAAGAGTTCTGAGAGTTTATTATTATTTTTAATAATCACATAGATATGCATGCCAAAAAAATCCCTCAAGATATTGACCACAGTTGGACAATCAAACTCCTGCCTCCTTTTTATATGTAGATAAGAATAAAACTGTACTCTCACAAAGAGGAATATTGATCGTTCAGTCTACCTTTCTTAAACAGATTGATTGGGAATCTAAATGGTTTTCTGGAAATCTCATCCAGGAAATAGGTGGGGTAGAACGAAACTGGACACAGCATGGGAAAAATCTAAATTTCACTTTTTAAAGCTTTGAATATTATTAAAATAATTATATATATTTAATATAATTAATTGGAGCACATTTAATAATTTTCTTCTTCATTCATAGCTAAATTAAAATTCAAGGCTTCCTGAGATTTTAAATATGATATCTGAGTTTAAATAACATACATTTTAAATAGATTAATTTTATCTTCTGTTTGTAATTTATTCCAAGCAAGGCAATACTGTTTAGCTTCAACATACACTACCTATATTAGATTAAACAGACATTTCTATAATGGATGAAATAATTATTTAGGCAGATGCTAACATGACTATTGTTTTCTCACTTATAATTAATTAAAGAATATAAGAACTTTAAAGCATCTTGTGTGTATACATTCCTTGAAGTCAGTGTTGATTGTGCAATTGCCTGGATGAATCCCTGTAGATTTCTTAGCAAGATTTTCAGAAGTGGTTTGCCATTGTCTACTTCCTAAGTTGAGAAAGAGTGACTGCCCTAAGTCACTAAGCTGGCTTTATGTGTGACTGGAACTCATGGTCTTCAGGCTAATTTCTTAATCACTATATTAAATTGACTCATTAAATGATCTTGAGAATGTTGCTTTCATTATAGCACAATTTTTGCAGATTAAAAATGCTTTGATGCTCTTTTGACTCAATCACTCGACTATTACAATGATCATTCACAATTATTCCCATAAGAAATTTTACTGGTTGTCACATAATAGTGGCATAGATCCTGGATAAGCAAGCCAAGATTTAGAATACTGCACCCCATGCAGTTAAATTTCTAGAAATTATTTTTATTTGTAAAAGTTAAAATTATTCCAAATGTGTAAATATTGATAGAGACCTTTATTCCTGTTTGGTAAAGCCTCTTTATATTTTCATTCATCTGCCAGAGTCCAGAGTAAGTGACTGAGGGCCACTGTTAAAGCCACAATTTGTTCTGGACTTAAGTGTTGCTTTCTATTAATATTAGTTGTCAATAGTCAACTGTTTCATTTATGAAAGACAATGTTCTATTGCTCGACAGATACAAAAAAAGTAAAGGACAGATGAAATCTCTAAACTACTTAGAGATATAACTTCTAGAAATGCTTGTGCTCATAATAAATATGAAACATAAATCTGTTGAGAATATTAATATACTGATTAGATATAGATATAGATATAATCAGTCCATTTAAGATTAATAAATGACAGAAAAATTAAGGGAACAAAGTATGTAAATAGAAAAAAATTAGAAAAGTGAGGCAAAAGAAGATATTTTAATGTTATAGTTAAATAGGAGAGAAAATAAATAAATTAAATGCTTTTGTTTTGCTTGTTTGTAACCTATACCTATTTTGGCTCTTATCCCATTTTCTGTCCTTTGTATAAGAGAGATACAGTGAAATGGATGGTATTCTTTATGGTATTAATAGATATTCTGGTATATGACTAATAACTGCCCTTAATCTCTTAAACATTTTAATTGGCTTTTCTGTGAAATATGCAACTCTCAATGGAAAGGAAAAGGGTCTTCCATAGTCCTAACCACCTGGGGTTTCTTCATTTGTATGTTATGCAGTCATCTACAACACATTCCAGAAAAAACATTTATATAATACCACATCCCTTTTCCCTTCCTTCAAGAAAATGTAAATATGTTTTAGGCAAATGAAATAATATTATCAATCACCGGATATATAAATAACAAGGTGTTTTTATAAAAAATAATCCCTGGAGAAAGTTATTAAATATATTGTCCAAAGTAACAGAATGTTGTTGATTTTATGCAACTATATCTCAATGTTTTTTGGCTGTAAATTCAGTTGCAGGATTAGTAATGGTGAAGAAATTGGAGATCAGATTCCTGTGTAATTAAATCTTTTGTTAATCTATATTTAGTTTAATATGAATTCCATTGATGTTTATCAGCCTTTTGAAAGTGAGCATTGTAATACTATAAGTCAATAAAACAGAGGACTAAAATTGTACCTCCAAACAGCAAATTAGTTCTGAGTGAAATTCTGTGTGCTAGTTATCTATTCTAAAGGCATAGGGCCAGTTATTTGAGGGACATACTATCACCCATAGTTTATGCCCCTTATTAATTTATTTGACTGGGCACTACCCACTTGGAATGTGGTCTTTGACATATCACTTAAAGGTACAGTAGGCCTAAACACAAACACAATTACACTCCTGCTGTACAAATCTTTGTGAAGGTTCTTTATTTTAAGCAACAATAACATTATGAAAGAGTCTGTGTATCTTTGTAGAAAGCTTTTCTAGAAGATTTTCATGAGATTCATGTTAATAGCAAGACAAGCCAATAAATGTTTGCTGTTATCAGAATAAAAAAATGTTTAAAGTTTTTTTAAAAAACAGACATATGAAATTAAAGCAGAGGCATTAAAAAGAGAGAGAAACTATATTTAATCAGAAAAACTGAAATTAAAACAGATTACTATTTTTTTCAGTAGCAGATGCAAAAAGGCAGAGATTAAAAGAGCAGTGTTTTCTTGTTAGTAGCCATTTATTTTGGTCTGTCAGTTATTTATCAAAAACTGTTTGGTCTCTTTAGATGATAAAATGCAGGAGTTCTGTTGAGGGTAGGGATACATCTCAAAGTCTTCTGCAACGTCTCAGTGACTTCAGAGGCATTTTGGGTCTATACTTTAATCTTCCATATAATGGTTCTAACATCATGTTTTGAACCATGCTGTTCATTTCTTCTTTAAAAACCACTGTGGTTAAATGTCTCCCCATCCGCCTTTTGGGCAACTTACTTTCTTCTCTTTTTTAAATTAATATTTTATTAATTTTCTAGTTTTATAATCATGAGTACCTAATAAACAACGTGTTGTCCTGGGTCCATTAGTAATTCAATGGTACATATTAACTTCTTCAATCTAGGCCCAATATTACACCATCCAATGCTTCCTCTCTTCTTCCAGTAGCACACATTTTCCCACATTAGGCAAATACAATTCTTATTGTTAATACACATACAATTAAATATCAACATCTTTATTACATTTTCCTAATAATATGAATAATGTCAGTTTAAAATATCTTTTTCTAACCAAAACATATCTTAATTGCATTTGCACTTAATATCCATTTGTTCAATTAATATCCTATTTTTCCCGCTTTTTAAAATTTTAATTTCTCATCAGTGTTCAAAATGTCTCTATTGCTTATAATTTCTCATAATAGGTTATTTTGGGTAACCAAAAGCTTCCCTTATTCAAATCCTCTTAGCATTTTCGTATTTCCCTTCTCATACCAAAATGTAATATTCTAGTTATAAATCCTATCTTTCTAGTTATAATAATACTTCTATTTCTAACAATTATATATTCTCAGCCATGTTTAAACATCTGATTAATAGTATAATATCCCATCTAATGGGTCAAAACCTCTATTTTCTTCAGTCTTACTCTAGCTTTCTTCCTTTGCCAACGAACTTTCCAAGTCAATGCATTTGAATCATTAAGTAATTCTTCTTCTATTTTTGTGTATATTGTTTGGAATAAGAAAGACAATTTGATTAAAGTATTTTTGGAAGGATGCTCAGTCCATGATATTCATTAAATAGCCTCCCTCCTTGTCCAATTTCCCACAATTCTCCTAACAGCTCTATCTTCCATTCATTCAGCTCTTCTTTCTCATCCTCAAGTGTGTTCTGAGGTAGGAGGACTTAAGATGCCCAATTTGAAATTGTATTAAGATGCTGCGGCTTTAACATTGATTAGCGATTGGATTAACTTAACAAATCAGAATATACTTTCTTTGGAGGGATGGGATTTATTATATGGATGGCATGCATATTTCATTTATAATAAGAAATCGCATATTTTAAGAATTGCTTTATTGCGTGTCTGGAAGAAATATTATTATAGATTAAATTATAAAACGCCAATTTGGGGGATTCCTGGACATGCAGTAGAGGGGATATCCAGAGGTGTGAAGTTGGACAGGATTTCTTATAACCAATTGCTTAAATTGGAAGGGAAGGATTGGCAGTTAAAATCATTAGATGAATTAAGGCAAGATAATATTGTTTACTCTTGGTTTCAGTATAGACAATTGTTAGATAGATGGAGTTTAGATCAAAAAGTTGGTATTACTTTAGAAGATGTGAATTTGATAAAACAAATTAGAGATCAAAGTCGAGCTCCTATAAAGAGAATTTATAATGTATTAGTGGAATTGGATTCAGAGACGGAATTAATCAAAGATTGTATGATAAAATGGGCCCAAAATTTTCAAGAGCTGATATTATTAGATACATGGGAGGCAATTTGGGTTGGGAATGTGAAGTTTATTCAGGCTCAAAATTTACGAGAAAATTTTTATAAAATGTTTTATAGGTGGCATTTGGATCCACAAAAATTGTCTCACATGTATCCTAATTTACAGCCTAAGTGTTGGAGATGTGGTTGCTTAGATACAACCTATTATCATATTTGGTGGACCTGTATAAATATAAAAGCTTTTTGGATTAAGATTTGGTGGAACATTCAAAAGATTTTTAATAGAAAGATAAAGTTTACACCACAATTGTTTTTGTTAGGTATTATTGAAGGTTGTGATGTTAAAGAAACTATTTTAATGTTGAATCTTATTACGGCTGCAAGGCTATTGGTTGGGCAATATTGGAAGAAAGATTCTTTGTCTACTATGGAAAAATGATCGTTTAAAGTTTCTAATTTAGCAGAAATGGCCAAAAATTCTGCTTACTTGAAAGATCATTCACAAGAAAGATACATCTCGGTGTGGAGAAGATGGATAAACTTTGTACAGAATAAATATGGGATTAGAAAGTATTATTTAGTTTTTGATTAACTTATAGTTTAAACTGGGAGTTGTTTGTATTTGAGTTAAAGTATTTTAGAGATTTGGTTATTGGTATAGTTGGATAAGCTTAATTAGAATTTGTTTGTTTATTTTTTATCTTTTTTAACCCTGTAATCAGCTCTGGAAAGTGAGGGGGGAGGGTTGGTGTGGGGGGGAGAGAGGGAGGGAGGGTTATTGTATTGTAATAATGTATTTGTATAAAACTTTTCAATAAAAAGTGTGTTCTGAGATCATGACAGGTAAGATATCTTTTCTATTTCCAATATTATCGCTACGTCTTCTAATTCTTCATTTGTCTGAGTCTGTCTGTTGGTTCTTTCTTTAGGTCCTCCATCTTTGGATCTGCTTCCTCTGATTTTCCTTCTATTTGCTGGGTTGCTAGTTCTTCCTTTGTAGTCATTTTCTGAGTTGGTATATCAAGCTGGGGGCTTTGGGGAAAGATGTTAGGGATGGTTTTTTACCATTTGAAGCTAAGTATGGAACATCCATTTTGTTTTTGTATGTAATCTTTATAGTCCAATCTATTTAGGGATTTAAAAAGTTTCAGTCAATTGATATTTGAACTCCTAATTATCCAGCCGGTCTTTCAGTCCATCCTTAAGTCTCCCCTCAGCAAACATAAGTAAAGTTAGAATTTTTCAAATTTTTCTGTCCAATGAAAAACACATCCTTTCTGTCCAGAGAGAGAAGAACAATTAAAAATTGTTCATCAATCAAAGGTTTATAGTCCAAAGTATTCCATCATCTCAATCAATAATGCATGTTTCTTCTATAGGGAAATAGGTCCATGACTCAGCTCTAAAAGCCAGTTAGTATTTATATTCATAGTCCAGGCAGGCCAATTTCAAAATAGCTTATTGTCTCTTCTAAACAGATAAGCAGCCCAAGAGGCTTTTTTCCCCTTTTCCCTGCTGCAGTCTTCAAAAGTGAACGTTTCTGAAAACAATAAGAGTCTTATCTGAGACTGGGCTTCCAGCCAAGTTTCCTTTAGGCATAATAAATTGCAGTGCTGTAGTTCACCACTAGATGTCATTAACATCATCTTCCAGCTTTTTACATCAAAACTTATATTACAAGGTTTTTAAGTCTCTTTTTTTAAAAATAAGAATCTCAAAAGCACTTATAGTCCCCAAATTTCAAAGTTATATATGTGTATTGCTTCCAAATTAATCTTGTAATTTTCTCTATTTTCTGCCAAGCAATTAATTCACTGCTTTTCTTTTCCTAAGGGAATTCCCCTTCCCTCTCTCATTGGGGAGGATTCTTTGCTTTGGGCAAAGGAAAAAATCTTAAAGTCATAAAGAGAGGATAGGGTCTCACCCAGTTCCATCCACATTGCTTGAAAGTTGCTGGTTAATGCTTATTTTCTTTGGTTGTCAGTAGCTTCTGATTGGCCACACAAATGTAACCAGTCATTTCCCCGCTGGTTTGGAGGGCTTCCTCAGATCAAAAGGAAGGACCGCCATCCTCCCATGATCAATGAGGGTCCCCTGCTTCTCTGTCGCCTCTTCGGGGTGACTTTTGACCCTTTTTAGGGTTCACAGCGGGGCAAAATCGAATGCAGAAGACAGAGCCCTGTCTTCCTGCACCCATCAGACTGCAGTGTCAAACTGGAACTGGGCAACTTACTTCTCACTTAGTTGCTATTTTTCCTCATATCCATTCTATCTTGGCACTTAACTGTATTCTCATTTCTTTGTGATTCATGACCAGTGGGGATTATTTTGTTTTGTTTCGTGCTTGCCAAAATATTTTTCTCTGTACTTTTTTTTCCTTTTTCTTTTTACTGTGCTTCAATCTGATGGAAAGTAAATCACTTTTGATTCTTTTCCCCCTAAAGGAGAGAAGAAGTTGTGGTGGGATTCTAATGGATGGGGCGTGGGGTTCTTTTGCTTACCTTAATTATTGAAAAGCCAAGGATTGTGTCATACCTTCCCTTGTACCATCATCCTTCCAGTGATTGTCAGTTTCTATGATTTCATATTATTTAATTACAGGTAATTCCTTTTGGCTCTTCCAGAATAAGAAGTTTGAGGAGCTGAAGTGGCTACATGCAATGAAAACAAAAATGTGATACAAAATAATTCTCTGCCGTTTCATAACATAATCAGCTTAAAGTATTTCCCAGAGAATTTGAAAGAAATTCAGAAGCATCCTACTTACAAATAATTCTAATGGGAATTCATGTCCCTGCTAAATAAAATTCTATCTGACTAATTCACAAAATTAAAGAGAAATCAAAGGTCAGGTTTTGGAATTTTGTACTTGTGCTATATTATAAAATATAGTCTTATCTTTTTGCAAGACAAAGATTCTATTAATCTCAAATAGAATTTTAAAAAGTACTGATGTTAGGCTGACAATCACACACACACACACACACACACACACAAACACACCCATGTCAGATCCATAGGCTGTTCAGTGGGGAAGGTTGAGAGGTTGTTTTTTTTTTTTTTTTGTCTTTTTCCCTTTCTTGCCATCTTGATCTGGATCACACTCCTCTCACCCCTGTAAAATCATTTACTGCATGGATTATGTCATATTTACTGTAGCCTTCATAAAGGGTTGAATGCAAGAGGAAAAAAAGAAAAAAGAGAAGGGCATTTATTTCTGTCATACAAAGTGCTATGTTATTTTAACATAACATCAATCCATTTATTTAAGGGAGAGAGAGAGAAAACCATGTTTTTGCTTTCTTGTATCATATTAAATATCAGTGTCACATTCCTATATGATGCAATTATTACTGCCCATGATTAATCCTATTCAATTTTATTTTGGATTTCCTTTCTTTCCCCTCCCCTGTATATTATCAGTGGAATATTATAGAGCTCTGTTGCTCTCTTTCAGCGGATTCAAGGTCGAAAAGCCAGTTTGGAAGAAATACAGCTGGTTCACTCCGAACATCATTCACTGCTCTATGGCACCAGTCCCCTGAACAGACAGAAGCTGGACCCCAGGAAAATCCTAGGTCTGTAAAGGGATCTATTCTACTGAGAACAGCACATTCCAGTCTTGTCATTAGTCATAGCTGGTGTCAGTTTAAAATACTTGGCAAGCGATGTAACACCCGCCCCCCCCCAACCCAAAACAAAACACTTTTTCCAGATGCAATTCATTGTGGAAAGAGAATGTTGCAGAGAGAGCCAGTAAAGATTAGGGAAAGGCATTGGCTCAAAATCAACCATAGAGATCTCATTCTGCTTTTATGATCATCTGGTTATTAACCTTTAGGGGATAAACAATTATACTTTGGTGAGTAAGTCAGAAAAGGAATGGACACATGACCCATATCCTTAAGGGATAGTTTTCAGCCTCTTTTACTTGGTCTTAGAAAGCAAAAGAATTTCAAGGGGTAAGACAGATATTTTAAAGTCACGAGTACCATCTGGGTTCCACTATACACAGCAATGGATCTTGAGTCCCTGCTGTGTTATACTGACACTGTTTTGAAAATGAATTTATATGAATCAACGTCTTTCACTGGTTGAAGCAGAGTTCAGATGATGCCTTCACCTATGTAGGGATCAGCACTTGGAAAAGCCTTGTTGAAATGACTTTTCAAATGGTAACAGTTGAGATAATGTATGCACTTCCCTTTTGAGAACAGTACTTCGATAAATTCAGTGGGATTTAGTCCCTGATAAATGTGCTTTGAAGAAAGGGTCAGTTCTTGTTTTTGTTCTCCTTCCTATGTGGTTTTGCTAGAATCAGCCTATTCTACAGGGTGCTTGATAGGGCAAGCCCTAGATTTTTGTTCAATATTGCACAGACTCTTTATGGAGAGAATGGAAAACATTTTCTCGAAGACTGCAACATGTGGGATAAAGATACATGGTGTATTGAATTGGAACATTTTTCATAATACTATGATCTTGCAAAGTCTGCTATGATTTGAAGATATATTAATCTACTGAGGTGTATAAACAATTGGCAAATAATGGACTGTTTATTTGTGTCTGTTTAATGTATTTAAAGCATTTTATTGACCTTTTCAGCCAAAATGACTGAATTTGAGTATATTTTGCAGCTTTGCCTGAAGCAAAACATAATCATGTTCAATCCTTGAGATTGTGGGGCCAACAAAAGGTACAAGAAGGCAGATAGAGCAGAAAGTATCACTGTTGCAGTGGCAGAAGATAGGTGATGCCTAGTATGTAATTAAATCATAATCGATTTGTTCTCTCCCCCCCCCCCAGAAACACTGCCAAAAGCTGTGGTTGTTTATAGCACACATTTTCTTCAAAATGTTGAGATTTTGTTTTAGGAAAAAGATTAAATCTATGTAAAAATTCTTGTTAAGGTTAAGTTACATTTATAAAATTATATGGGAATCCATTTTATATTTCTTCCTTGCCTCTTTTCTGCAAGTACAGGATCCACTTTTTTCAGATCACCCAAGGGTTGATCCATTGGTTGCAACAAGACTGACTGATCAGCTTGTCACCCGAACCTGAGGCCTAAAGCATGAAACTCAGTATCCTGTTTTCTAGCCTGGTGCTTTAACCACTAGGACAAATTAGCTCTCCCAATCCATTTTCTATGGCTTTTTAAAATTATAAATGGGAAGGAAAACTATTCTTCTTCCTTCTTCTCCTCCTCCTTCCACAATCACATACTGTATTTATAGAACATTAAGTATTTATAAAGCATTAAGAAGAAAAATAATCATAATTTTAGTGAATGTAATATATTTCAGGAAGAAAAGTCTGGCTATAAATAGATCCCAGTCCAAGGGATAAAGAGAAAAATGTCTGGACAGGCAAATCCAAACAGATTGATTTTTATGGAGTAGAAAGAAGGCCTAGATGACTAACATCTAGAGTTCAGATCTATAGATTGAATCTGAGCACACAACAACAACAACAACCTCAGAAAACATATATATATATATATATATATATATATATATATATATATATATATATATATATGAATTTGTCTTGTGAGCAGTAAAACCCAGTAATAAATCTAATGAGAGTACAAGATTGCTCAGATATGTGTAGCTCTTTCATACCCCCTAAAATTTGGCCAACTATCTTATGCCCTCTTCCTAAGATGAAATCATCCAACTTTTCCATAGGGACTTGTGATTCTATTTGGGTTTGACACTATATTGCAATGGATTTGGGAGATTGCTTTCTTGGATGCTGCAGGAATTTGAATCAGGAGGCTGTACTTACTGTAAATGATATTTCCTAGACAATCACAATTGTACTTGACTAAGAGGGCAGATTAGATGTGATTGTATGTGCAATGCTTGTGCAATTGTGAGTAGCATGTGTATGTGTCTATATTTTAAGGAAAAAATTGTAAAATATATGCTGGGCTTTACTTTATCTTTCATTAGCAATTAAATTTTCCAGTTAATACTACAAAACAGGAACAGTGTCATAATTCCAAATTGTTATTTTTTTAACAGACTGGTAGTCCTAACCTTATACTATTATATTGTACCCAGAAAAAAGAGGGGAGGCTTCATCATAAAAGAAAAGGTGAAACAAAAAAACCATCAATTTCATATTCTAACCAACCATTAAAAATAAAATGGAATAATGCGACAAAAGTATCCTTTTAAAGTTGGTTCAATTTAACTAAACCATAAATTTGAGCGGGTTTTTTTTTTCTTTTCCTGAGCTAAGGTACAAAGTTACTAAAGGACAGAAGAAACTTTAGTTTTCACTACCTTGAAAAATTTACCATTTTGACTATTTATATGTTCATTGTGTGCCACATTGTAATTCATTGAAAATTAACAATACAGATCATTCTTTTAACAATTGACAATATAGATTATTCTTTTAATAAGGGCTATTCAGTACATTTGCTCAGTTCTTAGTTTCCATTCTTTTTCTATTGCTCTTTTTGTTAATATATTACAAAAATCAGCATTCCTAAAGATAGCAAAATTGTGCTATGTGTCAACCCCTCTCATCCTATTAGCTCAGGCTTCATATTAAATAAAATTGATATACTCAGAATCTGCACATTATGTGTGATTGTATCATAACTCTAAGGCTTTCTTAATTTTTTATTCTTACCTGAATAACTATTGGTCTTAAGTTTTGTAAAGAAAACCACTAGAAGACCTCCAGACTCCTCTGGTTTCTATTAGCTTGCAGGCAAAGACACTCTCAGATACAAATACTAGTATGCATAGGTATCATCAGAATGGCTGAGCTTTTAAATATTGCATTTTCCAAAGTCAACCACAGAAATAACTAGATAATCAGAGTTTATGCAAGATTGGGTTTTCCTGAACTAAGGTAAAATAACTGGGATTTCCATGTACTATTTGTTTTGCAACTTTTCTAAATATTTTTCTTTTTGATTGGTATAATCAAAACATATTTGTAAACCCATCTCCTTGCAGCCCCCCTTTTTGTAATGATTCCAGTGCAGGATAGGAAAGCCAAAGCTTGGATATTGAATATAGCAATGTTTTTCAAACTTGGCAACTTTTAACATGTTACTGGCAAATGCTGGGAGCTGAAGTCCACACATCTTAAACTTATAAAGTTTGAAAAACATTGCCATTTAATCTCCAGCACCTAAAATGCTCTGGAGTTTTACCATAGTTTCTAAAAATCAGTAGCATAATTTTCTGAATTTTTAATTGGGAAAGACAAAAGAAATAGTGTGAACTTGCTTCTAAATGTTGTCCAGTTTCTGGCCACTATAACAATGACCTTTGCTGACTCATTAAGTTATTTCATTCTCCCAAATCAATTTTGTTGCCCAAGCCCAGAATGGATTTCCGGAAGCAGCATCCACACAGAGAACTGGTTGTTCACCTATTTGAATCCCAGCACTGGCAGAAACTGATTGTGACAACAACAGAACACTTACAGTGCAATTGGTATTTGTGTTCCATGTTCTGAGATGAATCTCCAGTAACAAAATCATTGCAATTAACTCTTACTCAGCATTCTGTGAACTGTTCAATATGCATGAAACATTCTATTATTGTACCTATACTAATTTCAACTGAAGATCATTGGAAGTGTTTTGTATTATTTAAAAGAACTCTGCATGGTTTATGGGATAGGGTGAAAAGATCATGATTCAGAGATCATATAAATAATTAATATAAATTCCATCAAGTTCTTATAATGAAAGGTTAGCCGTAGATAATTCATCTTTATCTTCCAACTACCATGGAAATTCAGAATAGTAATAGATTAGCCAAAATAAAGTTATTAAGATATGCTTCAGTTCAATTCAGTTCAACTGTCATGAGCATTGATTTGAAAATTCTGAAAAAGGATTAAAAACAGTTTCCTCAGAACTGAGTTCATTCAAAATAATGAAATGAAAAACTTGGTTTATTCCCCAAATAGATTTACCCACTATTTTTTTAAAAAAGGATCATCCCTAATGAGATTGTATGATTTTCCATTAGTAAAACATGGAACTATCTCAGAGAGTAGATTAGCAATATAGATGGAGACATAGATGGTAGATTCAAACATTATATGAAAAAGGTATTAATGAAATGACACCAGGAATATAAATATTATTAATTCATTTATAATAAATGCATTATTATTTATAATATATTTATTATTATAACATAATTTATCATTCACATATAAATCATATGGTCTCCCCACCCCAACTCCCTACTAAATTTAGAGAATTTGCCCCTAAATCTAAATTAGCACTGATGGATTCCTGGAATTATTAGGAATACAGTATTTTTTTTTTTTTTACTGAAAGGCTGATTTGTGCAAAACTATGAGGCTTAAGACATATACAGTCATGAAATGTCTGCTTTATCCATTCCAGTAATAATCTGGGGGCTGTAAAAACACACTTGTTTTATGTATTATGTTTGAGAAGGGGCGTTGTCTTACTTGAACGCCTTTTCTCTGCATGATGATGTAGAATCCACTGGTGTTAATTTCAGCCTTCCTGCTCAGAAGAGACTAAGTCAGAACTTTAGCCATGCCTCCCTCTGGGTGTGTCTTC